CAAAACAAGCAGACCACAGCTGACATATTTTGAGGTTTTAGACTGGAACACTCAGTTTTGTTAGTAATACATTTGATTAATTAAAATGAATTAATATCTACATATCAACATGATCATCAATTAAAGTGATTATGCCACAACATTTGCACAAAATAAAGCATTTTATTGAAAGAAGAAATTTTGTAAAACACTTAACCCTATAAACACATTTTAACACATTAAGAACCATCAACCAAACTGAGACACTGTAGAGTTTGTGAGGTTGACTCCTCTGTAACCATAACAAAATGTCTACAGACCGTCTTCATTTGAATTTTTGACAATTTCAGACTTGACAAAGAATAACAACTTATTGCACCACTATGATGTACATCAAAATGTGTCGATTTCATTCTCTCAACCTTAAAACCACACATGACACTCCTCTTGTGGTGTCTGATTGTTGTTGTTGCGACTGCCATTGAAAACATGCACAAGAAAGGTGTGAATGTGAAAAAACTGAAAACAAGTCTGACCTAACTGCGTCAAGTGGCTGTTTTGTTCATGCCAACATAACTGTGACATTTCTCAAGAGATTTTTGCCACATTTATATAATCATCTTTTTTTCTGAGTACTGGGGCAGGTACCTCTGTGTAGAGCAAGTCAACAAAACAAGCAGACCACAGCTGACATATTTTGAGGTTTTAGACTGGAACACTCAGTTTTGTTAGTAATACATTTGATTAATTAAAATGAATTAATATCTACATATCAACATGATCATCAATTAAAGTGATTATGCCACAACATTTGCACAAAATAAAGCATTTTATTGAAAGAAGAAATTTTGTAAAACACTTAACCCTATAAACACATTTTAACACATTAAGAACCATCAACCAAACTGAGACACTGTAGAAAAACTTCAAAAAGAGAGAATATAGGACAACCACAATGAGGACAAGCACAAGTTTAAATGGCTTGTTGCCTGCCACCCAGATAATCAGCCACCAGAGCTGCTACATAAAAAAACAGCTGTATGTCCTGAACTCAGCAGGACAAAAACACATTAGGAACTCTAACCTGAACGCTAGAGCAACTCACAAACTCCCAAATGGAGAGGAAGACTTTCTTCAGTATCTGAGAGTATATTGAGCTTGTTATCGTACCCTAGAGGCAAATGTTCAGTATGTTGTGTCTTTAAAAAGTGCTGTGACTGAGTTGAGTTCTGTAATAGTATCGTTGAGATAAGATCAAGAATTATATTTGGTCAATCGTTCTCATTAAATCTTTAGAACTTTTACGCTTATTCTTCCAGATAATCAATCCTCATGCCAAAATACCAGGCACAGACTTACTTCCCCTTGAACCAACATACATCCCGCAGGAACTCTCCACTGCACCACAGCTCCAACAGTAGTTTTTCATTAATATAATTACTTACATTTAGAGCTCTACACTATAGAACTATAAGTTAAATAAGCAACAGAGAATATGTATTTTAATTTAATTATATATTTTTTTGCAATAATCATGTAATGGCATTGTCATGTGTCATTGCTAGGCCTAGACAGAATTTACTGCCTTTTTTAAATAGAATTTTTGCACAAATGTTGATGAAAAATCAGCAAAATTCTGCACAATGGATTTAATGGACATAATAAAATATGTTATTTGAAAATCAGAGCACTATACTTTTGTTAGTATCTGAAAAGATAAATCAAATTAGGAAAATATTTCATAAACACAAAAGGGATGGGATTTGATCATTTTAGAACTCACAGAAGGCCCAATTTTACAGAAACCTGTGAAGTTTTGCAGAAGTAGATTCTGTGTGGGCCTAGCCATCTGCATATACATACACAAACAGGAAGTTCCAGCTGTTATATTTAAAGGAAGTCCAACTGTTACAGATTGCTTATGAATACCCATATCTGTTTATATCTGGTAAAGTTTGATTGGTTTCTGAATGACCATATTATGTGTATTAAGCGTGAACAGATAAAGTCAAAACCTACTTTATGAAAGCCTTACGGTTTTATTTCTCCATTTATATATACTAGAAATTATATAATCCTTGACGCCGGGAATGTTCTTTGAATCATCTCTTGGCCAAAAAGTGTTTTCCACCTGACCCAGGATGACTTTCACGCTAAAATGAAAGAAAGATGCCGATGCATAGAGTGCCAATAAAACAGAAGGAAACAGAAGGTAGATTAGCATAACCACAAAAACTCTCTTGCACAGGCACCAGCTCACACATAACAAGCTGCTCAGTAAACAACGTTCTCTAGTTCTAATTAAATACTCACCATTTACCACAATGTGAGCAGACCTCACCGTTTCATAACCAGCATGCACAAGGGCAAGAAGAGGTGCAACTGTGCAAACTGATTACATATGCTTCATTCTGTAGAACTGTAGAAATTCTGCAGAAGTGTAAAAACTTGGTGACAAAGGCAAGTTTGTTGGGTGCTTTTCTTTGCAGGGTATAATTACAATGCACGTCAAGTGCAGCAGAACTTAGCCGAACACAATAGAACAGAGAATCATGCAGAACTAACATCGCTGACGGCAATCAATGGCACTCAATTGTCCTAAGTTCTGCTTTTGTGTAAACACCCAAAGCCGTTCCTATATTCACTGGATCGTCATCGAAAGCTGATGTAAAAGGGGTTATGCATGACCTTAAAGGACAAAACACTGTTCAAGGTCACTGCAACAATTCATTTTTTGACGTGTTTCCTGATTAAAATGTTGATGCAGTCTGATAAATCAGATAGTCTCATTATGCTGTCAATGTAAAGGTTACATATTCAAATCCAGATAAGAATTCAACCTATAAGAACTGTAAAGATACCCTCCTTCCATCACTGTTCTTGCTCCAGAGGGACGGTCCCTGCAATCAGCATATGCGTCACTTTGGTTAAAAGCATCTGCTAAACAACAAGAAACAAGTTGCACAGAACAGAACGGAGGCATTTGGTTGGATGTTATTCTGTGCCAGTCAAAATCCTTCACTGGATTAGAAAGAAAGTTTATTTTGGTTTAAATATTTTTTTAAAAGTTTGTTGTATGGTTATGCAAGTGGAGGCAAAGAGTGGAGGGAAAAAAGTTTAAAGTTTTCTTTTAAATTAAAATTTTCTTAAAATTTTAGGCCGTTCATTACAAAAAACCATTTTACGGGAACAAAATGTAACCATTTAAAACTAAACAAAACATGACCAAGTAAAAAAAAAAAATGTGCCAGATTAAAAACAAGACAGAATAAAACCATTTTAAAATGAAATGAAATGAGCAATAATAGACTTGTGCCAGAACAAAAACAGCAGAATGCAGAGCTCTCGGGACTCCAGCATGTTCTCTCCCCTTCTGGTAGAGCTCAGTGAAGCAATATGTTTGAGATGTGGGGCACTGGACCTCACCCAAGCAGACATCAAGCTGATGAATCTGTGCTCACTGCAGCTGGAATGCAGCACTGATGACAGACAATGGGAACAGGAAGCAATAAAAACTGTTTCTGTATTTTCAAAATCTGCTTGTGTGTTAACATTATAATGATAGTTGTGCTTGTTGTTGCCATAAACACCACCTTGAACATAAGCCTGTGTAAAAAATAAATGTATCTTATGTCATCACTTGCTGCAATATTTGGTCAAAAAAATCACATTGCTGCTGCTTAAAATTCACTTTCAGCAACTGTATGTTTCTGAATAAGAAACTCAGATCATCTGCAAAAGCATAATATTCCGAATGAGACTGCAGGTGTACCTCAGATTTCACTGGAAAAAAGTGTTAATGTATGTCAACCATGCTAGATGAACGCACAACCCATTTATAGATGCATTCTGTGGAAACGTATATCAACATAGACACTTGTGTTTGTGACACACAATGTTTGTTTACAGCCTCTTTACAATCAGAGCTCTTTGTACACTGTTGTTTCCTTGCGTTGGATTGTTTCTATGCACCATGGCCTTTTTCTGATATGTCAGCTTCCTGTTGACTTTTGTGGTTAACACACACACACACACACACACACACTGCAAAGTGAGCTCATCATCATTCAGGACTAAAATAGCTGAACTGTTATTCCAACCACTTTCTTTTCCATCAAGCAGGTCACATGGTTTGAACTTGTGAGGGGTGCAGACAGAAGTCATAACTGGTGACAACTACTTCCACAACTACTAGTTCTAACTGTTCAAGATTGATTTTATGTGATGGTTTTACTTTGTGTAACACTCATAGACATTTAGTGTTAAATATTAAATGTTCCAAGTAAGGAAATCTGACCTTTTGTACGAAGAACATAAATGAAAAATAGTACAGACTTTCTAAATATTTCTCTATATGCCATAAGTTTTCTTGTTCAAAAAACTTTCAAAATCCAGAAATTCTTTGTTTAGCGCCAATTTAAATAAAACCTAGATCTTGCCCACTTTAACACCTACAGAAAAAGTTGTTGTAGATGTGTAGTTATTTAGCATAACAAGCCACTACATTACCACTAAAACGAAAGCGGTTTGCTGGTCTGAGCTGATTTATTGGGTCACACTTGTTATCCTTGGTGGTCAAACCAAACGGAAGACAAGAAGCCTAAAATATTTTAATAAAGATAAGTGTTCTACATTTTGTTTCAGTAATATTGTTTCTTGAAAACTTTTGCATTTTCACTTCAAAATTATGCACCATTTTGTTTCTATATAAAACACATTAGAAAATCGCATAGGCCTATATACCAAGACAAGTTCACCAAATGTTTTTGGTCTAAAATGTCAGGAGACCACCAAAGGGTTAAGATATTTCTAAGCTTGAAAAGTGTCGAAAACCCTTCTAAAAACCAGCCTGACCAAGACCTGCAAACCAGCTTAGGGTAGTTCACTGTTAATGGACCCTAATGAAGTACATTAACAGAATTTACAAGCTGCTGTGCGGAAAAACAGTCTGATGATAAATAATGGTTGATGGTTCATTGGTGCTGTAGGCTACTCACCATTGCATGATTCTGCCATGTGGGGTCAGCTGGACACTTTAAAAACTTTGGTAGAGCTCAACGCTGATTTTCAAGTTTTCAGTTTCCGGGAAGGCTGTTGATATGGTTCGGCGTTATAAAAAACTGGACTGCGCAGAGTATCTGGCATGGGCTGGTAAGAAAGAGAAATATTTCAGCACATAATGCTAGAGTCAAATCTTGTTATGATTAAGGCAGATGATTTTTTTCCCCCTCCTAACAGAGGCCAAACAAAGTTTGCACGCATTAATAGAAGATATCAGAAACATTATAGCTGATCCAGAGAAAGTTCAAGGGAAGCTCAATAAAGAGGACAAGGTAATTAATTATTCATAATATCCTTAGTGAAATCGTTTCAGATAGTCTAACATTTTTAGCAAACCCAAAAGTACACATTCCCTAATCATTGTTTGTGTGTTGCTAGACCGTGTGTATAAACAGCTGTTCAGCAAAATCTGACTGGATACACAACACCAAAAATGCAACAATTCAAGACTTCATGGAACAGAAGAAGCACCTCGAAGACATACTGGCACCTGTTCTGCTCAAGCTTAACACTCAATGTGAGTGTAACTGCTGTATCTGATTTTTTTCTATTTGCATATAAGCTAACATCTTGGTATTTTACTTCATTCAGTATCAAACAGTGCATAATTAATGTGCATAATTAATGTACAGTTTTTCATTTCAAGGAATAGTTCTCCCAAAAATGAAAATCACCCCATGATTTACTCACCCTCGAGCTGTCCTAGGTGTATGCGACTTTCTTCTATCAGACGAATGCAATCGGAGTTATATTTAAAAAAAAATGTCCTGGCTCTTCCAAGCTTTATCATATGAATAGGGGTTAAGATTTTGAAGCAAAATAAAGTGCAACCATCCATCATAAAAAGGATGGTTCCAGGGGGTTAATAAAGGCCTTCGGAAGCGAATCGATGCGTCTGTGTAAGAAAAATATCCATATTTAAAACTTTATAAATCGTAATCTCTAGCTCTACCCAGGACATTTAAAAAAAATATATATATATATAACTGATTGTATTCGTTTGAAAGAATAAAGTCACATAGACCTCGGATGGCTCGAGGCTGAGTAAATCATGGGGTAATTTTCATTTCTGGGTGAACTATACCTTTAACCCAGCACATTTCTGCCAAAAAAAAAAAGTTTGATATTTGTGTGTTTTATTTTTTTATTACCTAAACAAATTTTTTTTGGTTTATTTTTTATTCACAGCTGAAGCCACAACAAAGACAAGAAAGCCTCAGAACTATATTGCACCGAGGCATTATGCCGTTCAAATTACAATAAATCTATTTAGAAAAATTGGTTACATTTACTCAATACATGTTCTGCATTTAGACTTTTCAAAGATTTATAATTAGAGGTCCTAATATGAACATTTTATGATTCCTGACACAGAATTGCAACACAATTTTATTTGGAAAATAAAAATAAATAAATAAATTGAAAACTGTTAATCGCTGTTTAATCTGTTTAATTTAGAACATGTATTGTACATTTTTTAATTATTTACTGATAAATTTTTTTTTACAAATTACAGTGACAAATTAAAGGGGTCATATGATGCGATTTCAATTTTTCCTTTCTCTTTGGAGTGTTACAAGCTCTTGGTGCATAAAGAAGATCTGTAAAGTTGCAAAGACTAAAGTCTCAAATCCAAAGAGATATTCTTTATAAAAGTTAAGAGTCAGCTATGCCTACCTAAAACGGCTCGTTCTAACACGCCCCCACATGTCTACGTCACGATGTGGGAAGATTTGCATAACGCCACCCAAATGTTCACGCAAAGAAAGAAGGCATAACTTTTATTCTCGCTGTAGTATTGTTGCTGCCGCCGCCGCCATGTCTTGAAGGCGCTGTGTGTTTCGTTGTGAAAGCAAAACTACTTTGTTTGGTCTTCCAAAAGAAGACGATATCCACTTCGTCATGCCTGGAGCTGATCTGTGCTGGTTGCTGAGGAAATACATCAACTTCACGCTGTGGATCGCCGGATCGGCTTTTACCGGAGACCAAGCGGAGTCCAGCCCGGGGTCGTCACATGTGGTTGACGCAAGCCCTCCGGCCGCTCCGTTCTCAAGCCTCTGCTCACTCAAGCCCGCCGTGTGTGACGCTGTGTGTTTCGTTTTAAAAGCTAAACTACTTTGTTTGGCCTTCCAAAAGAGGACACGACTAGAAATCAGTGGTTAAGTTGTATTTTCAACACTTTTCCAGAACACTTCAACCCAGATATTCAGATGTGTGCATTTGATTTTGATTGATTTTATGGAGGACTGTTTCCTGCTCCTGGTAGAGTAGACTACAATGCCGGCTGTTCTGACTCACAGACTGCAAGTATGTTTTCATATTTAAAGAATTTGACAGACATGGTTTAATGTGTACACGGCGCGATGCAACGCAACGTGTAAAAAGACAGTATATGTCATTATAATCCCTAATTATGTCCCCACTGGATGTAACGAATGCCTGGTTTATAATGGGTTTTAATGTTTTTGACAAAAACATTCAAACCCATTATAAACGAGGCATCACAGTATGGTAGGGGCTTAACTTCTCCGTCACACGCTTCAGGTATTCAGCCAATCACAACGCACTGGATAGCTGGCCAATCAGAACACACCTCGCTTTTCAGACCAATGAGCTTTGTAAAATTCGACGTGTTTCAGAAAGGCGGGGCATAGAGGAGAAACAATAATGTACAGTATGTGGAAAATGTTTTTTTTTTTTACCTTAAACCGCATAAACATTTCATTACACCAAATACACAAAATAATGTTCTTTTTAGAAACATCATATGACCCCTTTAATACTTTTTTTGTCTAAAAGCAGAGCTATTGGCTGATGTTCTTGTGATGCGCTTAATGAACACTAGATAGAGACAGAGGCCGCCTTTCATGGTCAGCGAAATCATCTCAATATCTCCAAAATTGAATATTACATGTAATTTTCAGGCGGTCTTATCTCTACAAAACGTGTTATTCAAGAACTAAATGCAACCCCTATTAATGTCCAATCAAATTAAATATATTTTTTATGACATTTTTGCACGAAGTTAACCAGCAGATGTCTCAGAGACTCGATAATCAGTTCACATCTGTCTTACAATATCGATCGATGCTGTCAAAGTCTCAATTCTTCCTAATTTCACATTCAACAAATATATTATACATTTCCAAAAAAAAACTGAATTTTACAGAATTTTAGTTGATGTGTAAAAAGTAATAAAACCTGTCTGAAGCGGTTTAAAACATAAATGCGTGTTGATCGAGTCACTCGGTCATCCTCTAGTTTCCCCTGAATCCCAGCGCACAGGCTGGCAATGGCATGTGATTGAGGTGGAAAAGCTGTCTGGATTTTGAAGTGTGAAAAGGGCTGTCTGTCCTCACCACAGGACCGGGAGGAAGGGAGGGAGTCCCAAACAACGACTCACACTTAAAGTGGACGACAGAACAATAAACTGATACTTGCTGTTATTTTGGTAATTTTGCCGCAAGGACAATGCTGTAAACTCCTGCCGTCGCTGGATTCATTCAATTATTACTGCTGTTTCCACGACCTGACTCATGGACACACACAAGAAACAGCAGTCCATCCGAATATAACTTCAAGAACTACAGCTTGTTGCTTCTGTTTTAACTTTTGGCTGCTGATTCTGTCTTAAGAAAAGGGTGTTCTGAAACTTTGCACTTTCGTATTTTTTAGGGTATGATACGTGTTTAAATACACTATCAAGGTTTTTATTTTTTTTTTTATCCGTATTTTCTTATTTTTTTGCCGACCACGTAGCTACAGTGCTCAGTAATGTAAACATAGACTAGAATCACGTGTACATCATTTATATTCCAACTGTGAAACAAAGAAAAATATGGGAAACTCCAAACGTTCAGTTTGAACATTGTCGTACTACTACTGTCGCTAGTTTATTCGCGTTTATTTAAACTATTTTTAGCTGTATAGTTGAATACTAAACCAACACACACAAACGAACGGAAACATTGTGACTGAGATTCTCCTGCCACGCGCGTTAAAATCCACCGGACTGGAGTCCTTTACCTGGACGTTACCGTGGAGGTGTATCGAGCATGGAGACGGATTCAGTAACCGGTGGCGACGTGGGCTCGGTTCAGGGAGGCATGATTTCTTTAGACCCAGTGGTCGATGGGATTTTGATGGACTCGTTTTGCCAGCAGCAGGGATGGGTGCGGGTCTACGGTAGGTGATATTCCGTGGCCGCGCTGGCTTCAGATATGTTCACCTTAACACCTCGGTGATTTAACTCGCAGGGGCTTTAAATATAATTCTGAACGTAAATACATTAAATAACCAAATGATTTGGGGTTTTAGTTTTTATCACCCTATAATACCGAAGGGAATTGAAACTGAGTCTTATGTTTACCGAAGCGTTGTCAGACAGGACTGTTTATGGCAAGCCGTTTTAACATTTACCCTGCTTCTTATTGGGTCATTTCTAGCCTTTCAGTACTGGGGCACAGGCCTCGTATTTAGAGCCAACATTTTGGTAGTAATTTTTATTAAAATCCTGTTATGAATATATTTATTTAAATTGTCTTTACCTGCAGCACAGAGTCAAACTACACACACAATAAGTTGCTTCATCAGTGACAACCCTTAGAAGACATCTGCAGGTTTTGTTTCTTTGAGTGGATTGTAGGTAAATATCCACATCAGTCAGCACTCCATTTGTTTTATTAAAAATAAATATTTTATAAGATTATATCAAAACAGTGATACATTTGTGATTCTGGCATTGCTAGTTCTGATTCTAAAGTGCTGGTAGAAAACAACATGCTGATATATTATCAGGAAAAATTATTCTCAAGTTAATATATTGATTCATAATTTTTTTTTTTTTGGTAGGGCACAGAGGTCATTCACTGTTTCTTGTGCCCCAGTAAAAAGAGTCTTGCGATTCCCGTTCCTTATAACAAAAGTGTTTTCACTAAAGTAAGTGTTCATTATGTGCTAGTACTTGTTCCAGTAGTGACTAGTATTTAAGTTAATCAATAGCACTTGAACATTATTACTTGAAAGTATTTTTCAACACAACTCAAATTTATACTAATTGTTGCTAGTATCCTATTCCAGTTTATATAGAAACTATTTTAGTACTATTTTAGTACTTGTTTCTTGTAGCTATTCAAATCATGACTAGTATATATTATAGTTTTTGAGTAACAATTAATAACATATACTACCTGGAGTTTAATAGTTGATATATAAACCACAGATCTATTGAATAGTTACTAGCTGAACAGATACTAGCCATTGTTGGCTTATTTACTAGTAATTAAAAATTAGTATGAGTAACTTTAAAATAGCTGCTATAGTTTGTTGTATGGACTAATATTAAAGTGGCTTGCCATAGTAACACAGCTCTAATAGAAACATGTTGGCTTAATGGTCCTTTTTCCTTACTGTTTGTGACTTAATCTATCAGTTTTCAACTTGAAAGACACTAGGTTAAATCTTATATCCTTATACATTATATAGTTTGTGTGTGATGGTACAATAAATTTTGTGCCTTTAGTGTGATTGTTTTAACTGTAGTGTAATTTGTAAAGAAACAATGGAATGAATATATGATAGATTCCAATGTGTGTGTACGATTTGTGCTTAAGGGAAGGGCTGTGTGGAAAATCCTGGTTACACATAATAGGTTTGAATGTTGATCTGGTTGTGGATGACTATGTCTCCTAGAGTAGTTGTAATTGGAGACGGGGTGCAATAGGGAATAGACAAAGGTTTTATTTTGTTGACACATGAAAATGTGTTCTTGTCATGGTTTCAATTGGAGTTTTAATAGGAGTTGTTAGTTTGTTAATGCACATGCAACATTTTCATTTTGAATTACAAGACTGAATAGTAGTGAGCCATGGTAACTGATTGTGTTTCCAGATCTGTTGTTTAATAAGGCTTCTTTAAGGCTGTGTGCACCATATAGACATGTAGCCAGGGGCTGTTGTCATGGCAGCCTGTTGTCTTCTTATTTAAGAATGTAAGTCGAAACCAGGGACTTCACATGAAAGACAGGACATCCAGTTCTGTCAACCCACTGTCATTTTCCGCCCCCACTAATTCTGAGCTGAAGCAACTACAATAAATTTCTAAAAATGATCATATAGATCAACCAACAAATGAAAGGTCAAGTTCCCCTAAAAATAAAAAGTATCATAATTTACTCTCACCCTAATGTCATTCCAATCCCATATTGTTTTCTTCTGTGGAGCACGAGGAAAAATGAAGAAATTTGACAAAATCTTCTTTTCCATGCACTTAAAATGAATGGGAACTAAAGGTTCAAGCTTCTAAAAGAAGCAATATTAATTTATAAGAAAATTGGTCC